CGCGCTGGCCACTGCATGAGTTCGATACCGACCTCTTCAAGGTAGTCATGTACAATTCTGGCGGTATGGGGACGCGCATTATCATGCATTAATATGCCATGCCGGTCCATCCTGGCCATGAAAGGACCTACATGTTCATTGAGGATCTCTTCCACGTACCTCTCTGCATTTAGAGTTCCATTTTGAATGAGTACCAGCTCGGTGCGGACCTCAGTAGAAATCCCAGCCCAAACTTGTACGGAGCCTCCACCGTACGCCACTTTTTCCTCCACACACGCTTGATGGAAGCGCTCCCCTGGTCTTCTGTACACCAACTGCCTACCATCGTGCTTATAAAGTATGAATTTAGACTCGTCCGTGAACATTACCCTAGACCAATCGTCTAGTGTCCAGTTTAGGTGCTCGCGCACGTATCTCTGTCTTTCAATTCGATATCCCCGTTCCAGTTTGGGGCCATTTGCGGGCCTCAATGGTTTCAAATTTGCTTCAGCAAGACGTCTTCTTACTGTTTGAGCGCTTAAATTGCCACCTCCAAAGCGAATAAAGTGAGTTTTTAGACCAACAGCAGTTTGAAAACGATTTCGGAGAATTGTAGCCACCAGTTGTCTGTCTTCCCTGGCCGTTGTGCATTTTGGTCTGCCATTTCCTGGTCTTCTAAGGTGTGATCCGGTCTCTTGGTACCGCTGGACTACCCGCTGAACAGTCGACAAAGATACACCAATGTTTCTGGCTGTTTCACGCTGGCTCCGCCCAAGTTCCAAAACAGTTAGGATTCTGGTACATTCCCGTAGCGTGACTGGCATGCTTCACCTCACAGAATAATAATTATGCACGTGGAAGACGTTCACGATAATTTTTTTGTGACAGAGTAGAAATGGAAAGCATCTATAATGAAATGAAACATTTTTTTTTTCTTTTAAATAGTCATTTTTTTAATTTTGTTTTCCTAATGAAGTTTTTTTCATCAACCAGTTTAAATAATATGCTATTAGATGCGCAACTAAAAAGTCTTTATTCTGTTTTTTATTTCATTGATCTAACTTTTACAGTTCTGGAGGTATTTCAATCTTTGTGACTGACCCGTAATTTTTGGAACCGAGTGTAGTTTCAAATAAAGCAGAGCTTGTACTATAGCTAGATTGACTGATAGAATAATTATATACTTTTTTTTTAAACATAAATTTATCACAGATATATAACACCCAAATTCCGAAACAAATATTTGCAGATCATACTAAAATTTGATCCGACCCGGGCATCGAACCCGAGACCTCAGCACGGCAGTCGCATACGCTACCACTGCACCACCGAGGGGTAATTAGATATTTATAGTATGACTGCACAGATGGCGCCGCTTACTACTACTGAGTCTTGTGGGTCCGATCCCCACATGGGACGACACTTTGTGTAATTCACACAATTAAAATTGTTGTTCTGGGTCTGGGTGTTCTTTGTGTCCGTTTCATGTATGTTTGTACAGTCCCCCGCGACACAGGATGTATTCCTAATGCGGGAGTTGTATTTAAAAAAAATAAAGTAATAAAAGTGAAGAAAGCAGTTATTTAAAATTCGCACACATGTAAACGTATAATGATATACTTACCGGAATAACACACACGTAAAGACCCTACCAGACATTTCGTTTTTCTTGTGTCCTAAATTTTGTTTTGTTAGAAATTATAGCCACACAACTGTATACTACGAAAAGAAAAACCTAACCAAAATCAAGAGAGAAAATTCAAGCATATTTATTATTTGTTTTGCCAAACATCTTTTCCCTTTCACTAAGTTAACCGCGGTATCTTTTGGCATTCTGCCTATAAAGTTATTGGGCATTTATTAAGTAAGCAATGCTCCTTCAGTTGTCATATCATTAAGGATTACTGAATTTCATTGAGTCTGGAGCTTTCGAGATGGAAATAAATTTAGACAATATGTAAATATAAGTGTGGTGACGGATGAAGAATACAGAGTGTCACCACCCCTATTCATCCCGTGGGTGTCGTAAGAGCCGACTTAGGGAGCAAACTACGCAAGACAACAGCACTGCAAAGAGAAGGAAAACTTGAAACAAACCCTTTTTTTTTTTTTTTTTTTTAACTTGTGGAAATCCCCTCGGACCGTCACCCCTCCGGGGTTTGCGGCGGAGTGGTGTGTCGGACTCGGACCGACTAAAACCACACGGTGTGCCACTCTGCGCCTGTAACAGGAGGGATCCGGGAACAGCTGTTGTTAAGACATCCGGACCCCTCCTAGCGCCAGCCCGCTCCTGGTGCGGGCTCCGTCTCAATATATTTTCCTCTCTTTAGGCGACGTCCGGCACACGCGGGCGCCGCCCCCTCGCGGCTGGCCAAACTAATGCGGGTGGAGGGGAAACCCACCCCGTCCACCCGCGGCCACACTCAGGGCGGCATGAAACCCTATATCAACCCGTCTGGCCAGCGTGGTATAATACGCCAAAACCTCTTTTCTAAGGAGAGGCCTATGTCCAGCAGTATACTGTTATAGGCTGTAGATGATGATGATGTAAGACGTTTGTATGCAATGCAAAGACTTAACGTGCTTTAGAGGGCACGGAGGGCTCTCAATATGATAATAATGGTCACCCATCCTTATACTGACCTGGCTAGAAGTCCTTAACTTAGCAATATGCTAAGTTACTCGGTTACCACTTAGCATACCCTACATAATCATATGTGTATTTGTACACGGTTACACGGTGGATTAACCCTATTAATCTTTATGTATACAGAATTAAAAGGCATCTTTACGGATTGGAATTTCTGTATGTTTAGGGTAATCTTATACCCAGTTAACAAACCCAAAAGCTCTTGTTGTAATTCATTTATCACATACTTGGCGCTGTGTTTTTCTTTTTCTAGTAGTAAAAATATAATACCAAATTGATTTCATATTTTTTATAACTTTTTAATTGCTTATTGTGTGTACTATTAATTTTACTTTTTCATTACTGACTATTTTTATGAGTGCTTATAAACTCCTCCGTTATAATATACCGGTCAACGATGTATATGTATAATAATAATAATACATCACACATCCCACACACGGCCGCCTGATCCCAAACTAGGCAGAGCCTGTGCTATGGTAACCAGACTGCTGACAAACATACTTATATATATACATATTATAGAAAAATTACACCCAGACCCAGAACAAATGACTGTGTTTATCACACTCTATTTGTCCAGGGTAGGAATCCACGACCTCCGGCTTAGCAGTCAGGATTCCTAACCACTAGACCAAAAGGCCCGTATGTACATATGTATCACGGACATACATATGTACATACGGGTCTGACGGGGTGAAGACCTGGTGATTTGTAACACACGCATTCCATGCCTATAACAGACCTCCTCATATATGAAAACTAAACTAGTCTATGTGAATGTAACTAGCTATAAGTATATCATTGTGAGGGGAAATAGAATAGTATTATTATTATTAATAAAATGTTCAAATTAACTTGTTTCTGCAATTAGACTTAATGTAACGCGTTGCTAAACGAATAGCGGCAGGCGCCGAAGATAAAATGCTAACACACCTACCTACAGATATACTTACGGTCTGATAGCAAGATTGTTAAATATTCGGAAAGAAATAAACTAACCTGTTGGTCTACTGGTTAGTAACTGCTACACCGGATAGTAAGTTCGCTTCAGACCAAGACAAATAATTGAGTGATGAGCACAGAGGTAATTTCTCTAGAATATGTATGTGTTTAGATATGTTTGATTATCAGCAGACTGGTTACCATAGCACAGGCTCAAACTAGTTTGGGATCAGACAGCCGTATGTGAGATGAGTCAACGTATTTATATTATTACTAGCAAACCCGGCGAACTCCGTTTCGCCACCAGATGGCTTCGTTTTATGTAACATTTCGTTTGGTGATTAAAAGAAGTTTTTTTTTTGTTTTATATTTGAAAAGGAAAAATTTTATTTCATTTCACAACAGTAATGAATTCATTTCGATTACAAAACTGAAGTGTTATTTAGTTGAACCTTTCTAAGTAAATGAAAGTGAATCCAAAGTAAATAATGAATCGAAGCGTTATACGTCATTATTCTTTGCGGCAAGAATTGCTCGTTGACTTAACCAAGCATAATTCTGATAATTCTCACTAATGTTTGGGAAAACATTTTCAATAAGAGCTAATTTAGAGTCTACAAATCAGCAAAAGTCGTTGGTAAGAGTAATTAATCCAGATGTCGCATCAACTGGGACTTTTCCATTTCCAACAGCTAACAATTGTTTGGAAAATTGTGCAGCACTTTGATCATTTTGAAGTTGAACTCTCATATTAGTGGTTAGCGATAATGTATTTACGTTGTTCCATAAAGGTGATGCCTTCAGGCAAGCATTCAACTAATCTGCAGGCGTTCCACGGGGAATTACTGGCAACGTCTGCCTGAAATCGCCTGCCAACAATATCATCAAGCCGCCAAAGATGTTGTTATTTCGCCGAAGATCCTTCAGTGTGAAGTTAAGTGCTTCAGGTGATTTCTTATGTGCCATTGTGCACTCATCCCAAACAATGAGCTTGCATTGCATCAACAATTTTCCCATTGCACTGGATCGGGAAATATTGCATGTTGAAGTATCAATTGTGTTTAAATTGAGTGGCAACTTAAGCGCAGAATGTGCAGTACGACCGCCATGATGCTAACGCCAAAGCTATGTCACATCTTGATCGAATAGTGGCCAAAATCAATAAAATGACAAATGCTTTCCCTGTTCCTCCAGGTGCGTCCAGGAAAAATAGACCACCAGTATTATTGTCCACCGCTTGCATTAATGTTTCGTATACTTGTTTTTGCTGTTCATTCAGCAACGGCACATTATTTCGAACGAATTCCTGCAATGTATCAACATTGTATTGCAGCTCTCGATTTAATTATTGGTTGAATGCATCGTGCATCGATCGATTTGGCGCAATCATTCCTACTTCAATCAGTAGCTTGTTTGCAATAGTCAATCATTGATCCTCAATCAGAATCAATCCTTCATTGTAGATTTCATCGGTTATTTGGATGTCAGGATTATTCGTTTGAATGCGCAAGCGATGCAAGATATCTTCACATATGTCGTCTTTGTATTTGTTCCATAACTGAATTGGTTGTGAAGGAAAACATGTGGTGATGATAATTGCGAACAGCGTTCGTATTTGGTACGCATTTAATGAAACAACTGAATCCGCAAGTGTGAAATCCCAATGAGAATCGTTCTCCAGCAAACCCAATAGTTGACATGCTTCTCGATATGTTTGGCATTGGTGGCCATTCACAGTTTTCAAATGCGCAAATGATTTTGGTCCACGTACATTTACCAACAGCAGTCGCAAATAAAAACATTCATCATTTCTAGGATGAACAGTATACATGCGACCTAGTGCATCAGTGGAAAACACCTGTGGCCAATCTGGGATTGGGGTTCCTTGTTTACGACGTTGGAATTTCTTTGTTGATTGATTCCAAGTGTAATACTTGGGCATTTCAACGTACATCAGCGTCGCTGCGAATGGATCTGCTTCACACATTGCAAAGAAGCTAGTCAATGTTGTTGATGGTGGTCTCTCAGCTCGTTGTGCCGCATTAGCCTCAGTGAAGTAAACTCTTTGGCCATTTTCCAAATGCACTGCTAAATGTACAACTGTGGAATATCTTTCATGAATTTGAAATGACAATAATCCCCACAGTGCTTCATTAGTACGTATCTGCCCATTTGGAAGTTGCTGATTTCGTCATTCGCATTTTCCGACGCAATACCAAACACAGCCATGTCGCTGCCTTTTGTGACGTACTTGCACAAATATTTGATTGATTTGGCCGAATGACAACTCTCAACGTTTGCATGTGTTTCGAAAATTCGTGATAGCAGCGGGCAATATAGTACAATGAATTCATTTCCGATCTCAATCTCTTGATTTTGAACTTTAACTTTGATAGTTCGACCATTATCTTCTTTTGAACGCCGACGATAAACTGGATATCCATCGTTCCCTGTGACTGTTTCAGCAACTAACGGTCGCGGATATCGTTTTGTGCACTTTCCATCAGCCATGCAAGGCGATAATGGATTTAATGCACCGCACGGTCCATGCACCATCTGTGTCGTCACAATGTCGTGTAGATGGGGATCAGTGACTGGATCAGGAATTTCAGCTGATATGATGTCATCCACTTCATTTGAATGTAATTTGTTCAGCAACCAAATTAGGATATGAGCATGCGGTAGTCCACGTTCTGCCATTCCACCGAGTACATATAACAACGTGTGTCACCAAAAACTCGATACTTAGTAAGCACATCCATCATAACCTTGAGTTTTTGCTGAAATACTCTGGCGATTATGTCATGGCGATCTTGCGGTTTTTGGCCCGGTTCCAACTCACGTTCAATTTCCGTCCACTTCGGATTGCATGTGAACGTAATAAATAAATCCGGAGTTCCATAATTTCGCACGTACGTCATAGCGTCTTGAGCGTATTCGTGCATGTGGCGTGGGCTTCCGATATAAGATGATGGGAGAATCGTCAGACGTCCAATATTCTAAACATCACCATCTGAATGAATAGCATCACGCAAGTGTATATAGTCCTCAGATCGTAGCTTTGCCTGATTGAATCAGATGGACGCTAAACGTTCGGTCTCGACTTTGACATACATGTCGACAGCGAATTGCTGGAATAGCCGACGGCACTTCAGAATGACATTCTCCTCATGTGTACGAATCATCATACGATACGCATAGTAATTCACTGCGCTTAGATTTTTGTTCGTTGATACGCCTGAAAATGCAAAATTAAATGAATTGTTAATGGAAACCAATAATAGAAATAATTAGTGTGTGAATATTGTACCTGGAATTGGATCGACCATCTTCAACGTGATGTCGTATCCGTTTTGCCCTTGCCAATAAATGATTGGATATTGTAACGCATCGTACAAACGATGTGTCTCGTTTACACGATGCATGATATTGCTTCTTCGCTGAACGACAATGTCTCGCGATTTAGTTGTATCGCCAACAATAATTGCAGCAACATCATTAACGATGGGTGCATTGAATCTTCGCACATGTTCACCTGTTGGGGTACAATCCGCTCTTATGAGAAATTTGTGCGAATCCGATGGCATTCGTTCCAATGCTGTTTTGAACATATTAACCACAGCATTATTAGCGTGAAAAAATGCTTGCAACTGTTCAATAATTCGTCTCTTTAACTGTTGTGTTCCCTATATTGCACCGCACATTCAGCTGATCCACCATCGACGAAATGAAATATATTTGCAGAAATTGATGCGGTTCATCTGGTGTTAGCACCATTGAACCATGCAAATGATATATTTGTTCTTGTATCTGTAATTGCAAAAAATCATTTGTTGAAGAATACGGTGTAACTTCTGATAGTGTGATGGTGTAGTGTGTGGTGTATATGTAGTTGTTATGTGTTGCAATTCATTGTGTTGGTGTGAGTGGTTGGTTATGTGTGTTGTATCTTTTACCTTGCAAGTCGGCATGAAGCCGCACGATCCACATAATTTACACAGTTCAACTTACCACCTTAAAGACAAATGTCTGCTGTTGAAATTGAATAAAAATTTGCACAATACACATGATTGATTTGAGGGTTTCCAATTGAAATGTTAGGAAACGAATAACTTATTTTTTTTACTTTTTTTTTCTCAATTTCACAGTTAACACAATACCGGTTTGTCACATGAAATTAACTGAGCAGAGAACAATGAGTAGCTGTCAAACAATGTATCACGCACCGGCGCCATCTACTTAAAATATTGGTTTGTAGTACATGCTATGTATCAGAGATGGCGCTGTATGTGAAAAAAGATTTTCAAATTTGCACAATACACGTGATTGATTTGATGGTTTCGAATTGAAATGTTAGGAAACGAATAACTTATTTTTTTACTTTTTTTCACAATTTCACAGTGAACACAATACCGGTTTGTGACATGAAATGAACTGAGCAGAGAACAATGAGTAGCTGTCAAACAATGTATCACGCACCGGCGCCATTTACTTAAAATATTGGTTTGTAGCGCTGTATGTGAAAAAAGATTTTCCCGCTTTTCTGTTGAAAATTTTCCTGAATTTTCTTTGCTATAAACCACACGGAGCCCGAGACCTTTCCAACGAATGCAAAACCGTGGAAATCGGTTCGTGCGTTCTGGAGTTATAGCGTCAGGAAGGAAAACCCGACTTATTTTTATATAGTAGATTTAAGTCAAGGTACCTATTTCCACCACTGTGCGCTTTTCTAAACTTTTTGCCTTTTTTTTTTTTTTTTTTTTTTTTTAACGTGTGGAAATCCCCTCGGACCGTCACCCCTCCGGGGTTTGCGGCGGGGTGGTGTGTCGGACTCGGACCGACTAAAACCACACGGTGTGCCACTCTGCGCCTGTAACAGGAGGGATCCGGGAACAGCTGTTGTTAAGACATCCGGACCCCTCTTAGCGCCAGCCCGCTCCTGGTGCGGGCTCCGTCTCAGTGTTGATGTTCCTCTCTTTAGGCGACGTCCGGCACACGCGGACGCCGTCCCCTCGCGGCTCGCAAAACCAATCCGGCGAACAAATTATTTAATATAACCGATACGACTTTCAAACCTTAAATAAAAGAGCGTAATCCTTCCTTAAAGGCCGGCAACGTGCTTGTGACTCCTGAGTTGCAGGCGTTCATGGGCGGGGGTAGTCACTTTCCATCAGATGACCTGTCTGCTCGTTTTCTTCTATTAAAAAAATATATTATTATTCTCAACTAGGTATCACAACAATGTGGTATCTTTAGTTACACATAGCCGTAGTTTATTCTATTTGAATTTCCTTAATTAGATGGCGCTGTAGTATGTTGCTTCGTATCACCGTATGAAGAAGTCGCTATCCTTTTCTTTTGTGGCCACTCCCACACACAAAGAAACAGAAACATACTACAGCGCCATCTAACGAAGACACAAATCTTAATAATCATAGAAGACATAATCTTGTATCGCGATATGAATAATTCTCTCGCCGATTAGCATATATACAACTGCCTAACATAAACCGTTGGGACGCGGCCCACTAGGCATGATCACCGCGCCTGGTCGGTGGATCCTCCCTTTGAGTTGGAGGGACAGTCACCCGTTCCTCCGAATTCGCTAAAATTATATTATTTCACTTTATTACTATGTATTAATACTTATTATAGGTAACAAGATTACCAACCTACCCTAATCCCAAACGTTACTCAATTAAAACACATCATTAAATCGTGTTTTGTCCCGTCAGTTCACCTTAAAGTGACCTCATCAGCACAGACATTAACGAGGTCTTAAAATTGTCTGCCGTTTGAGTATACGACCCGAGGTATCTCATAAGTGGCATTTCACTGATCATTATAAGGTAAGTTAACACAAAGGGGATCATATAAAAGCCTATATACATTTATGAAAGGAAATCGATTATTCTGCGAATAGGTTACCTGAACACTTTTGCAAGTTAAACTTTCAGATGAGTTCAGACTTTCTCAACCGGACTAGCCATGAAAAGAAAGGACGAAACAAACTTAGAGATTATCGTCCTTTTGAAAGTCCGGTACAATTGGAAAAAAAATAACGATAAATTTGTAACAAATAATAAATTATCGTAACGTCAAAATAAAAGTAAACATTAAAAAATAAAGCATAATATGTACAGAATGAGCAACTCAATCCCAGGCGGTTTAATCTTTGAGATATTCTGCAATGGAATAACATCCTTTTGTTAACTGTACACATTACACAATCCAATCCATTTATTCGTGTTACATGGTGAAGGAGCTACAATGGCGTTCCTAATGCGTGATATGGTACTTACGATGCGATATTCTCGTAACCACTTCAAATGAATCGATGTATTGTAAGAATTTATCGGGTTTATAAATGCTGAGTGCATACTCATAATAGCACTCGCTCGTTGCCATTTTATAATAATAATAAATAACTAATAACAATTATCTACCACATTCATATAATGTTATCGAATACCAAACTCCGCAGAGCTTGTACTATAGGTACTAGACAACATTAAAATATATACCTATTTACTTATTTTGTAAATATAAATATACATATACATAGAATACAAAAACACAAATAAAATAAACATCGAACACACGGCCTTTAGCCTTCTTTTTTTCTCTCGGAAAAAAAGAAGAAAATCGGAAAATCGGAAATTCGGAAAATCTCCTGCTCTTTGGGGACTTAGGAACCAGGAGTATCTGGTGATTCCACTAAAAGGCCCCCGACGGCCGGCCTCAGGTGCCCTACAATGGGAGGAGCCGGACCATGTTATTTCAGGTCCTCCCCGAATAGACACCATGCCTAATCAGGCCCTATCCATGGGGAAATAACACTTCCCCCCACTCGAACTTTATCCTAGCAGTCCGTTACACAAATCACTATACTATATTTACTATCGTGCCGTCATCACCTCCCTGGAGCTAATGAAGTGGTATGAAATCGAACCGACTGAAACCATACGGTGGTACGATAAAAGTGGGCTTATTGCAAGGGACTATGACATACCTTAGAGAGAACAGCGGCAGACCTTAGCCGCCTCTCAAATAAGAGACAGCTACACCAGTGTGCAAGGAACCTTCTGTCGCTCACATCAGAGGGCTGAGTGCAAGTTTATTTCACATCGACTGACTCTCGACGGCGCGTTTGGCGTTACGTTTGGTGGAAATTTCAGTGCGGGCCACCGTGTCGAGTAGAAGTGAAAGTTGCGGGTTCGATTCCCACCCAGAACAAATAATTGTGTGATGAGCTCGGTAATTTGTTCTGTGTTTGAGTGTACTTTATCTATAAAATATAAAAGTATGTTTATCAGCAGTCTGGTTACCATAGTACAGACATAAAGTTGTTGTATAGGTATATATGTATATGGATGTGCCTGCCTGTTTTATTATAATATAAAATTGATTGGTATCGCTGGTATTATGTGTGATTAAAACTGTCAGTTTAGTTTACATTACCGCCTGAAAAGATTTTGACATGAAATGCTTTGAAAAAGAATATTTTATATAACAAAAATATTACACGTTTTCTATTCATCGCTGTTCCTACTCTAACAAAAATCCAGTAAAATTTTTAACTGAATCCGGTAATCGAACCTAATATCTCACAATAACGTAGTGAAATAAACTAAAAGTAAAACGATATTTAAGTTTTTTATTTAGATATTAGAAATTTGTATTACATATTCTCTATACCGATTTTTTTTTACTCAAAAGATTAAATTAATTAATTAATACGATTTCAGAAATGACAAAAAAGAAGATTTATGTTTTTTGTTAATGTTAAACTTTATGTTATAACAATCAATATTTATTGAAGATTTTACTCCCGTATGTATCACAACCCCGTATGTATAACAATGGCCCTTTTTAATGAGGGTAGTCTCCTCCCGCGATGAAGTCAGACTCCAGTCGACCAACCCTTAAATACATACATACGTAAGTAAATTTTTAATAAAAAACGAATACCTTTCACATTTTTTTTATTTTAAAAACAACTAAAATAATTATATACAAAAATAAAAAAAATTTAATTAAAAATTAACATCAAATTTTATTTTAATAATAAAATAATATTATTATTTTTTTTGGCTACAGTAAATTTTTCTACAATGGCACAGCTACAAGCAAATAATTAATAATAACAATTTACAATAAATTAGTTTAACAAGACACAAAAACATAATAAATAACTTTCAACAATAACACAATATAACTACCTATATGCATACCAATTCGGTGCTCACGAGTTAAGCTTAACCCATTGCAACTTCAACTCGTGACCACAAACAGTTTAAAGCAAAATGAGTTTTCTTGTAAAGTTATTCGATAAATATTAGACTGTACATTATAGTAGAAGTTTAATATAAATTCTCATTTATATTAAACTTCGTCTTCTTTCTTCGTGGAAGTCGGTTAAAAGTCTCCCTTTTAACCAACTTCCAAAAAATGAGAAGGTTTTCAATTCAATTGCATTTCTTTCAAGGTTGCCTGGAAGAAGTTGCACTAAGCGATTAAGGCCCCCCTTTGTTCATATAGTATGTCATTATAAAAATGTAAAACCCTGGTGTACAAATGAAGTATTTATCTATCTTTTTTAATTCATGCAGAGCCTAAACCGCTGGGGCAACAAACGTCAAATTTGGGCAACTAATGTAAACACCCACTAAAGAAGGACTTTTTGAAATTTCACCCCTAAGGGGTAAAAAAAGGGTAAGCGCTTGTATGGAAGTGCGTCATTTTTAAAGTTAGAAACATGATGAAGGAAATAATCACACGAGTGACGGCGCGGATAATAACTAGTTTAATTATATCTAGAAACCGTTTTGTGGTTGCAATAAGATAACGAATTAATACGATTTGAATATTTTGTTTTATCTTATTAAATTATTTTTAACATAGTAAACAATATTTTTTTCCAAAAAAAGGGAAACTATCAGTGTATGAACTTTCTATACACATAGGTCAATATATACTGTACTCCTGTAGCTCATTTCAGGCGTATTTCAAAATAAAGGCCTTACAAACTAATGTGGCAGTACTTCTTAACAGCACCCACCTTTCATCCTGTATTTTGATACCGTTAACTGCGGCGTCAGACAGCAGGTGGGACGACGACGCAGCTTGAGTATAAATGATCTAACTTCGAGCGCCGATCGCGATAGTACTGTGTGACATTTTCTATATTAACTAGTTCATTACAATATGCTTACCTCACGTCGCGTTACCGTTACGATCCGCTGCCGGTCTGTCTCGACCTTTACAATTTAACTTATTCGATGAGTTCTTTGACAACCACAAGTTTTTCTAAACATTTACAGATAAAATGTTTTAATTACATCTATTAACATTTTTTAGTTAATATACATTTATATAAATTCATTTAAATATAACTGTTATATATAATACAAATGCTATCACAGTCAACTTTTCTCACTTCTAATTACAAGGTTGCTGAAGATACCTCAGACACACGCCGATGTTTTCTTCTGGACTTCTCTTGCGAGTTGGAGGGCCGAACCGGACGGAGACCGCGTAAGGAGTGATGGAGGTTTCGACCTTGCAATCCATCTGTTGCTGACCAGGACAGAAAGTATTGCCGCAGTGGTTAGGGTCACAGACTCCAGCTCCTAGTGAGGAACTCTGAGAAAGGTCAATTACACAATTGATTTAAGTTTATACTCCGAAATTAACAACAGTTTTTGATATTAGCTATTCTTGGGACTTCTTTACTCGTTGTATCGCAACCAAGAATTTTGCAAGAATTGACTGCACGGATGGCGGAGTAGTTTAAGCGGTCGCCACGCCACTTCCTACTACGCCGAGTGTTGTGGGTTCAAACCCCACATGGGACGACACTTTGTGTGATCCACAAATTGTTGTTCTGAGTCTGGGTGTTCTTTGTGTCCGTTTCATGTATGTTTGTAAAGTCCCCCGCGCCACAGGATATATATATTCCTAATGCGGGAGTTGTCTTTTTAAATAAAAAAAAAACAAAAAAAATGTCTTTACACCAGGTCGGTTTAGGCCGGTTTGGTCTCTTAGAAAGTTCCAGAAAGTGCGCAAGTTAATTAGTTAGTCCTAGAACAACGTATAACATTCTAGAATGTTCGAACTCCTATCACAATTCCACATAATGTCTTAAGTTGGCGACCGCAGTATTATTTTACTATGATATATTGAACAAAGCTATTTTATGTAATATTTACCAAATATTTATGAAATACACAATTTGAAAAGAAACAGCTTTCCAAATGACCCTAGAAGTAAAACGACACTTCACAAATAGCGCATTCTTAAAAAAACTTTAACAATATTACTTTCGTACTTATTTTAAACTTGAGAAGTACTCACAAACTTCTGATTTATGCCAGCCTCTAAGGAAAGTTTTGAGTTGCAATAGAATTGTATTATAAATAGGCTCTTCAAAGTAAAGTTCTTATCTTTTGATATTTAAACGCCATTGAGTCAAAATATCGGTATTCTACTAACATAAATTCACAGTGTCAATAGACTATCGATGTAGTTTTATAGGTCTGGTGATATCAACAACATTGCCATATCTGGCAAAATAAATATATTGAAACCAAAATGGTTTTTTATTTAAATTTCCGTATTATTTTAGTACAAATTATTAATTTTAACTTTACAGGGAGAGAAATTAAAAGCAAAAGAATATTAACATCGTGGCGAACACATCACTCTATAGTATTCTTGTTAATCAGTCTAAAAAAGGACTCACGACCGTAGTGTACTGGGTACGAATCAAACTTGCAACCGTTTGATCGCTTTAACTTGTAATTTAGAATGAATTAGTTCCCAAATTGCATTAAATTACAATTAAAGTTATATTATAGCGGTAACGCATAGCGATTTTTTTTTAAATCTTAAAAAGACTCATGAATCTTAAAAAGAAGAATTTATAGATTTCTTTAGTTTTAATTTATTATATAATGTAGACCATATAATAAATACGCAGGACAACACTACTGCAAAAGAGAAGGAAAACTTGATACAAACCCTATGTCAACACCTCTAGCCTTTTTCTAAAGAGAGGCCTATGTCCAGCAGTGGACTATTAAGGGCTGTTGATGATGATTGATAAGACAATATTATTCACGTCTAATTCGATTATTTCATTATAGACAAATATTGTTATTTCATTTCTTCTTTTTTTGAACTATATCACGTAAGGAATAACTCTGGTCACTCCTTGTAAACTTTCAAACAAGATCCATGAAGAACATCCAGACTTGGGACAACTTTTTATACATTTAACAATTGTGTGTACCGTGTAGGAATAGGATTCTGATTGTGTTGTTAGTTGAGTATTGTACTCAACTAACAACACAATCAGAATCACATCACATCAACAGCCTTTACTAGTCCACTGCTGAACATAGGCCTCTCCTTAGAAAGGAGGTTTTGGCCTACTATACCACGCTAGCCAGACGGGTTGGTATAGGGTTTGTTTCAAGTGTTCCTTCTCTCTGCAGTGCTGTAGTCCTGCGTAGTTTGTTAACTACAATCAGAATAACTCACCGAAATAAAATATTCGTTCTCACAGGGAATTGTGATCCGGTCTTGACATCTTTGCCGGCCGTAACCCATGAGCCCGATGCCGTAGTTCCCGTAGCCAAAGTACCGGAACCTGTCGTCATCATTGGCGTAGTGTTGTGTGTACGGCGACCACCTGTCCCAGCTGGTTGACCTGGCCTGACCCCACATCCAAGACCAGATATACGTCCAGATCTAGATGAGGTTAGTGACTGTTAAGCAAGCTACGGGGCAAGCGTGGGTAGCTATAAATATATAATTATAAAGGGAAATGAAGAAGTGCGATAAACTATATGCTGTCGTAGCAATAAAACTTGTATTTGACGGAGACAAAACTGACTTCATACTCAAACGGCGTTGCAATTGAAATAGTTATTTCTTTTACGGATGGTTTAGGAACTGTACTTCGAAGAAGTCAGGGTAATCGATTTGACTTCTTCGAAGGTTCGAGGGTAACCGATCTGACCAGAGATTTCCTTTTTAGGGTACACCTGGTTCCCCGGCTACTGGTAACCGAGACGGCGTGCGGTTTTAGTTGATTCGAGTTAGACATAGCCACCGGTGGGTGGTATCTGAGGGGATTTCCCCACAGAAAAAAAAGGGTATTCGATCTGACTGTTGAAGAAAAGTTCGAGTCTTCTAATATACTATCTAGTAGGTACAGATGAGAACTTGGTGTCTGAAAAAGTGTAGTTCCCATATTACCGGGCCCTGGACCCAGAATAAAAGATTTACAAAATCAAATCAACGATTAATATTTTACAAAATCTTATTTAATATTTGTTTTATGAAGTTGATGAGGAATTGGGATGAAGGATTTAGTTTTGTAGAAGGATAATGCAGCTATTTTGCATTCCTAGGTATATCAGATACGGATCACGTATATCAGAAAAATATGATGATTATTTATACAGGTTTATTATTTATTAATTTGATTAAAACAGTTAAATGTTTATTTCTAAAGAACACAAAAAAAATCTATTCCTTGAGGGTCAAAGTTTCATCTCCTTCATAGTGATTCGATTATTTTTTTCCTCATACCTAAACAAGATAACAAACAGACCAATTTTTAATAGAGATAGATCTTTTTATATAATCAATCAAACAATATGATTAATGATCTTTGGCACTAGTAATTTATTTTATACACAAATTGAACATATAAAACAAATCAAATAAATTAAAACATTTTTGTACATGTTACAGTATAAAAATAGTATCGAGCTTCTCCATTAAGCTAATTAAATATAAATAAAGTAATTATGCTGTGATTAATTGATTTTAGCGAAATTAATTAGGGATCACTTACATATCAATGTTATAAGGAGTTAATTATGTCAATTGGGTGAAAATATTTACACTTTTAAGGGATTACTGGACGGTTTATAGTTATCACATATTATTTTTAGTAAGAGATTTGAACCGACTATTCAAAATAAAAATACACTACATTGAGTCAAATTGTATTATTTGTAAGTTATATTTAGAGCAGTCGATTAGGCAGAAGAAGCAAGAATAAGCCTAATTATAGCCGGGATTAAGAAGCTTTTCACTTCAAGAACATGAGACGTACACAGACGTAGTAGTTAAAGGACTTTTAAAGTCATTTTTTATCCTTTTTATAAAAAGTTTTGCTGGGATTTGCAATCAACGTTATTAATGTACATTGAGTTTGCATTCGACTTTATACAGAATTACAGATAAGTATTTTCATATTGTAGGATCGTATAGGCTCCGTGAATAACGTTAAGCGCTTACAATTTTAGAAAAGATGATTATAAATAAAATAAAAATTTTAATCCGGGCAAATTGAATTAAAAAATTCGCTAATTAAGATAATATTTCTAATACAAATGACTGAAACTATATTTATTTAACACCAATTATGTTATGGTATGTTAATGGATGTTACAATTTTTTTCTTAAAAGGTCTACAAAAAAAATTAGGAAGTGAAACATCTACATTAAACCAAAAATTCATATTGTGTTATTTCGAAACCCTCCCACGCTTGTAAAAAAAAATCCGAATAAAATCGAGACATTTCGTGGCTACATAAAACGCTCCTTAAATTTGATGAACAAAAAGGTTTCTGTAACACTCTGTATAATATTCGCGCAGTTGGGTGGTTGCCGTGTGCTTTGTTTGTTTTAAGCGATATGCTCGCTGTGTAGCGCTTTGTGTTAAGCATTTCCTTTGCGCAAGTGTCATTTAAAATGTAACTTTATTTTGCCAGTCGAGAAAAGATCCTCATCGACATATTTTTTTACAAACTCTTACATATGTTAGATTATTATATATACGTACAGGAACTACCGCAATTGCATTCATAGATATGAATTGTCTTTTGTTTCGACCTGGGCCTTAATTCTACTATTTTATGTTAATGCCAAGCCACTGTCATTCCATTTACACGCTATTGAGATGCCATTGCGACGCCATTGACATTTGTCAAAATATCGGTATTCTACTAACATAAATTCACAGTGTCAATAGACTGTCGATGCAGTAATATAGGTCATCAATGGTGATATCAACAACCATACCTTTCTAATTAAATATATAATTTTCTTACACATTTAAAATGTACCGTTTACCAAACTATTACAAAGACATCGACGACATTTGTATCAGGGACAAGACATCTGTGGAGGCCATTGGCTATTGGTCTATTAGTTAGTAGAATACGAAAAGTGCAAAACTATCCCGATGACATTCCATCAACAGTCTATTAATACAATATTAAAAAAGCAGAATTGACGCCCTGGTTGCTCTGACCCTGGTCACAGACTGATTGAATCAGGGACAGCTAAGAGTGTGCAGGACTCCTCAAATACGTGAGGTTGAAAATTCTTCATCTACCCGCACCTATTCGACATTTTAAATATTTACTTTTCGTCATGTATCACACAAAAGGGAATTGACGTTTTTTAATTCCCGTACGTATACGTAATCATGAATCTTTAAATCTTGTTTTGATTCTTACCCTGGACGCCATACCCGTTTGTGCCTGCACAGATTCTATTTGCGGCTCATTCCCTGAACCTTCTATCTCATCTTCCTGTGTCGCCATTTCGTTCACTGGCATCAACTGGTCTTCACCTTGAATATCTAAAAAAATATTTTAGAACAAAATATGGGGGATGGGATGGATATCTTTGTTTGGGCTTGATTTCAGGTAAAATCTGTCACCGACCAAGTGGAGGTACCGGGGATTTCCTCTCTAATTTAGACTTGGTTCCCCGACTACTTCAAATACTTAAAATGTAACTCACCAGCTGGATCCATGACCGATGGTGTTCCACTAGAAGGCCCTATCCTAAAGGACCTCCGATCACAGGGGGTATATCTTATTGAACAAATACCGCTATTTCTTCTGATACACGCTTTGTAGTCTTGCGACGCCAGATGGCGCCCGTTCGTGGCGAAGTTAAAAGTTCTTATTGTGCCTGATGAAATAAAAATAATAATTGTTTAAGCGATTAAAATGATACATTTTGATTAAGATCTTAGTACTTAACGTTAGTTTCCTGTAATCAACAAGTGCACAGCCAGTCTGCATGTACATCGACGGATGTATTTTTCTGTACAGAAGCTTAGAAACAAATGCTACATACAAACAACTAAAAATGTACCAAGAACTATCTTTTTCAGACTTCCAAATATTGGTTCAAATTAAAATTAAGAGCACTCGTTTTTAACTGCGCATATGTGCTTTGTATAAGTACATAAACACTACATAGAAAGAAACAAATAAAAGTCTTTTAAACATTTTCTTAGCAGTTTATTAAGGTTATTGAATGTTTCTTATAAAATTAGTAAAAATGTTAGCTTAAAATGTTAATTTGGAAGATTCTGAAAGAGAGAGAGAGAGAGAGAGAGAGAGAAGGAGTCAAAGCATCGAAATATCATAAAAGCACACAAACTAACCATTATCAGCCGTGTAGTATTGCAGGCAGTTATGGGGAGCGGTATTGACGAGCGGCATCTGCGCAAGACGCATGAGCCAGAGCCGTGGCATATCACCGCTGCGCATGCGCATGGACAGCTTTATATTCTTTATGCCAGCCAATTCGTCAGACTCACGCTTCTCGCTGGCTGTTGAGAGTGTGTAGTATACTGAAGAAGGGATTATATGACACTTTCACTTGTTATTCTTAAATTATATTTTTTTCTGTCTACCTGCACAGTTTATCCCAATTTTGCTAATACTTCAGTCAAATGAAAGCTATATAATTCCTTTTAAATACTACTACATGAAAACTTAGTCATTGTGGTAATTATATGAATATTATCGTACTATAGATATACCTATTATAACACTTGCACAAATGTTACTTATGAAAAATTCCCTAAAACCTTTGTCTAAACATGATATTTTTGATACATCATGATTGATTAACTATAAACTATCGTATGCTAACGTTTTAAAATACAACTTTAACAAAAAAAAATTTAAATAAGTACCAAAAGCTTAATAAAGATTTTCTTCTGGAAGTTCTTGGCTGGTTTTATTTAAAGTATTCCGTTAAATCATTATGAAAACTAAATTTAAACCTTACTATGTTGTCCGTGGTTCTGTCCACATAATGTGAACTTACTGTCTCCATCGCCCAAGATCATAGCATCCTCATCACAATCTCCTGTAGATCTGTTTGGTTGGCCCTGGAAAGAGGCGAAATGTTTTTTATAACTGTATAACTGTTGTAAATTGGCTAATACAATTCAGTTGGTCACTCGACATTTGGTCTATATCTGAAATAATTTAACTTTTACAAGGGTAAAGGCCCCGAAAGGTAAAATAATTCAAGAACTTAACATCTAATTAGGCCTTCTGTCGACTGTCCTAATCCAGTCACGTCAGATCTTTACCCACACGACAAGACACTCACGTAGTCCCGCAATGTTGTGTGGAAAACTTCATACTAAAAACGGTGAGTTTATTAATTTATATTTTGCTACATGTGCTGAATTATTAATTTCAAGATGACGTGGGTGGAGAGGCATGCTTCGGTACAACTGGCCTGCCCAAACCGGAGTGACCAAGTGTCACTCAGTCACCCAGTAACGGGAGCTCCGAACCTGCCTCCTCTCCAATCTAATTATCGGGAGGGGGAAACAAAGGCTGGTAACGCATTTGTGACTCTCGAGTTGCAGATGTTCATGAACAGCGGTAGTCACTAACCATCAGGTGACTCGTCAGCTTGTTTACCTACCCCTATCCCATAAAAAAAGTTTTTTTCATCATCTGGCAACGTCAACATCCACTAGAAACTTAGTTATGACTTCGATTTCACACTAAATACAGTTTGTCATACTCGAGTGTAAATAAAAGTGATCTATGAACAGCCAAAGTTAGGCACTACTTGGAACACCAGGGACTTCCTTTCTAGGGTATACCTGGTTCCCCGGCTATTAGTACCCGGCGACGGCGTGCGGTTTTAGTCGGTTCGAGTCCGACATGCCACCGACAGGTGGTATCCGAGGGGATTTCCGCACGGAAAAAAAAAAAAAAAAAAAAGGCACTACTTGGAAAGGTAAACAAAATAAATACCTAACATTTTTAGTGCTCATTTAACTAACGATATCATGTCTGGTCACCTGATAAATGGTAAGAAGAACTCACAATGGTAAAATGAATGAAGTCAATTCTCAGTTGCATGATGCCCGCGTATGTCTTTTCTATGGTAATATTGCAATCTTGATCACCGCCCCACAGCTCCGGGAACTCAGGCGACATAAAGTACGTCAGATTATTCTGGACTATAGCGCCGCACGTAACCTCGACTGAAACATAAAAACAGGCATAAACATGTTTCAGGAAACGAGCTGCCTTATTTTGGTGTTGCAGGGAAAACCATCATTAAATGGCTAAACAAATATTTTTATTTATTTATTTAACTTTATGCACTTTTGTACATGAGACGACTTAATGCCCAGGGCATTCTCTTCGTGTCAACCTTTGGGTGGTGTAGAAATATTGTAAGGTAGATGCACAGAGTTTACGTCTTAATATATTGAGTAATCAATGAAATATATGTAACGGTTCGCTACATGCATAAACACATATACACCCCAACACATTATGAATACACACATATAAAATTATACACATACATATATTTTCAATGATCAAAAATCCTACACTATACTCACATTTACATAGTTACAGTAAAAAAAACTATACAATTCAATTTTAAATAAACAAATTGAAAACAAATGAAATACGAATTACAAAAAAAACCGGTCAATTACGAGTCGAGGGTTCCATACCTTCCCAGATAGATTACAGAGGTAGATTTACTTAGATTTTCGCAAAAATTTGTAAGTACCAAACTTTATCTTAATTTTCAACTTTTTTTATTAGTTTTATGAATTATTACACTTTACACTATGAAAATTACTACACTATGAAAAAACTACACATTACACTATGAAAATTACTACACTATGAAAAAACTACACATTACACTATGAAAATAGCTAAAATATACTAGTCTAGCTGTTTCTACATCGGTTAATTGACAAATTTTATAAATCGCGTATGCTGCAAAGCCGAGTCTATTCGACAATCCATCAATGTGTGGCCCCCCCTGCAATTTAGAGACTAGAGTTATACCCAAAAGCTTAGTGGTGTCCACAAGATCCAACTCCTTTCCATTTTATCAGAACACTGGTTTTTATCTGCTTAACATTAGGTGTAAAAAAAAACTGGAGGGTACCCCATGTACTTAAAAGGTGGCAAAGCATTTGTGTGTCTCTTGAGCGTCGAATACTGATGGGCGGTGGTACTCTCTAACTATCAGATGACACGTCTCCTTTTTTGCCAATTGTACCATAAATAGAAATTAATTAAGGCACAAATCTAGACCACAAATAAGAAAAGCTTACTGTACCAGGTTTTCTAGAATATTGATGAACATACTTAGATATTTGACAATGCATACACTACATACAAATACTCACACTTCTTATGCATATATGCACAATTACAATAATTAACGACTTATGAAGTCAAACTACCAAGGTCATGTTAACTTGAAAACTATTATTTTCAGAAATTCTGGGGCAAGTGCCGTGAACCCTGACCATGAAACTAATTTACGAAAATTTACACGTTAAATATCTTTTTAATAACAACCTATCAAATTAACAACTTACGTACTGCATAATTCAATCCAATAAGCATTGGACTAATTCTGCCCTGACCTACACTACTACAAATCTACAAAATACCACTTTCTCCAAGATCCCAACACGCGCTAATCTACGTGCAATATATGTATCTATGTATGTATGTCTTGAATTGTAAAAAGTGTATTAGCATCTATTAGGCATTCATGACCGTTGAAAGTAGCCTTGAAGACACTTAGTCTAGTAACATATATAACAGATACAAGTTACTTAATAACAATATACAGTATGTATTACAATGTCAAAGACATCTAAAGCACAGGCTGAGGGAAATGTTGTTGAAATTGTGATTTTCATGGCATGTTAGATGACGCGTACAAAAGCAAATTATAACCGAAGGAAATGGGCTTTCTATGTGAAAGACAAATAGAAAGGGAGTTAGCAGTAAAATAACGAAAGGTACACATCCCACAAGATCATAAACTTGTGGGAAACTTCGCTTTGCAAGATCTTAGAAGTGTTTATATTACGTAGTGATGATTTAGTTATTTATCACTTTATGAACAATGAGTATAGAGGCGGACTAAAAGCTAAAAGCATTCTCTGACAAAAACCTAACTGGCAGAGAATGATTTTAAAATCATCAAGCAAAATAAATATACATACAAACATACACTCAAAAACAAAACCCTCCTTTTTGATCAGTTTAGAAAAACATAATAACGCTGCTTAAGAAAAAAAAAATTTGGAACTAACCCCGATTATAATATTATATTGAATATAATTATATGGCACTCAGTATAAGGCACTCAGTATTCAAATAAGCGTAACGGTCACTGTCACCACGCCATAAATTTACCAAAGAGAAACACTTAAAGATTGTAGATTAACTGGAACCCCCAGCTTCATCTGCTTAAAATGAGTATTAGTTTATTTTTTGTTCAAGCTTTCATCAATTTGAATTATTTAATAATCATGAAAAATCAGATAGTGGTAGTACCTTCATATAAACAAGTAAAGAGCAAAGTTGACATGATGTAACGCATATTGTTATTGTCGTAGGAGACCTAAGCTTTCGCACATATGCACCGGCTCGAACAGAGTAATACCACGGCCTCACAGAATACCGGCGTTAAACAAGTTTTCGTTACTTTTCACCGAGCGATTGAGTTACTAAAGCCCAAACTGCAATTCCTCCCCCTTGCTGTTGGGGAAGGGACCAAAAAGAGACAGAGGGCGGCAACGTACTACTGACTCTTGAGCGGCAGGAGTCCATGGGTGGCGGTAGTTACTTATCATCCGGTGATCTGTCTGCTCGTGTGCCCTCTTATACCATTAAAAAAAAAACAAAAATTTTTTTTGCACCATTGTGGGTTGCCCATGAGAATTTGAGGGAGTCATCAGATGATAACTCACTCAAATTTGTTAAGTTTACCGGGTCAAGGGGGCAACCTGGTTTTGACCTAGTTCTACTTTCTGGGGTCTCTGGTGTACTTAATAAATTTAATCCCAGCTTTTTGAACAATAGACAAGTCTAATAATCGAGTTAAAGGGGATTGTCGTTGTTTTAAATCAGAAAAATGAATGGTAAATCGCCATTAGCCACGACCCTTACATACAACTCGGTAAACACAGTTCACTGAATGCGTATTTAAAGAGGCTGCACAAAATATTTGCCTACAGTGTAAAAATAGCACCAATTCATGCCACCAATTCAGCTGGAACGATATACCAATATGTGAATATTACCAGAGTGAGTACTCGACATTTGGGCTATATCTGAAATAATTTAACTTTCGGGGCCTTTACCCTTGTAAAGACACCAAAAGTTAAATTAATTCAAGAACCTAACATCTAATTAGGCCTTCTGTCGACTGTCACATTCCAGTCACGTCAGACCTTTACCCACACGACAAGACACTCACGTAGTCCCGCGATGTTTTCACCCAACCCGTCATGTCATTACGTCCGCGTCCCGCCGTTATTAGATTAGGCAAGCTTTTTGTTTAGTTTCATTTAAAGCACATGGTAAAAGGAATACTAAATTATATTTGATGTACTGCGAAATTGCATTTTGTCGTATATAATATTCTTCCCGCGTAACGTTAGCAGGGAAAATATGAATGTTTTCCTGAAGAATGTTTTTGTATGCTTATAATTCTACTCTTTAAAAATGCTAAGTATGCTAGCTAATGTATACTAGTTTGTAATACTCGGTTGTAGGTTAAAATATAACCTCGCTGATATTAAGTTATATGAAAATTTGTATTTGTATTTTTAAGAAGACAACTCCCGCATTAGGATTATATCCTGTGTCGCGGGGTCTTTACAAACATACATGAAACGGACACAAAGAACACCCAGACTCAGAACAACAATTTGTGGATCACACAAACTCGCGGACCCACAACACTCAGCGTTACCGCTTAAACCACTACGCCATCCGTGCAATTAAAAGTATTTTTAGTTGAATACTGATACAAACGTCACGTATATGCCTATATTATCATATGTTGTGTTGTGAGTCGTGTGACTCATCACCATCATTTTCTTGATCTTCCTCCAATATCATTCAAGATCTCCGATTCTTAAATATTTTTAATAGACCTCAAAAAGGAGGAGGTTATCAATTCGGATGTTTTTTTATGTGTGTCCGGCATAACTCTGTCATATATAGCCGGATTTTCAAAATTATTTTTTTGTTTAAGAGTGGTTTATTCCGAAATAGTCCTATTTAAATTTCATACAGATCTGATAATGAGTTTCGGAGACAGACAAAACGGCACTCTTCAAAAAATGACAGCAAATCAACCGCGACTGCTGCAAACTTTTTAGTGCTCTTTGTGACTATTGTTTGAAGTCGGTTTAACTTTTTTTTAACTCTCGCTTTAGCATCGCAAGAAGTCTTGACTAGTTTCTTTCATGATCGGCTACCTGCTTGGTGCCTTGAGAGCTTCGCTACAAATGGGCCTCACAGAAAACCGATGTTAAGTATTTTTTCGTTGCTTTTCACCGACTTAGCGACTTACTGACGGGATATTTGAGTCCTGCCCTTATTTTGAAGTAAAGGAACTTAAAAAACAGAAACACACTTATGCCTTGAGTTGTGTGAGGTGTCCATGTTTGTCGGTAGTCACTTGCCATCAATTGACCCGTCTGCTCTTTTGCCCCCTATACCTTAAAAAAGATCTTAAGAATGTAACAGTTTCCAGACGGGACAAAGAAGGAAGGTATTTGGGGAAAAGAAGACGGCTAGGGTGAATAGGGAAAGCGATAACCCAGGTCTCGAATAGAGAGACGGGTCTAAGACCATAGTTGCTCGAAGAGGCCGGGTTCGCGTACTCCGTTGTCCATGTGGTGCCAGGAAAAGCCACTAGGACGTTGACATCATCTGGCAATCACAACGTGAGTCATACACAATTGACTTTCATATTAACCCCTCCAGCTAACTCCTGTATTAGAAGGGGATTCACGTCGGTAATACGATAAGAAGGGAAAGAAGTCGCAACGTCTTGGTTCAAGACTAATATCTTAGCCATTAACATTACCCCTTTTTTTTGTGCGGAAATCTAGGATGCCACTTACCGGTGGCAATGTCGGACTCGAACCGACTAAAACCGCACGCCGTCTCAGGTACCAGTAGTCGGGGAACC